ACTGCTAGCACTCCCTGGAATCAGACTCAATTCACACTTCAAACTGTAAAATTCAAACAGTCAGGCACACACACACACTCACACCACAGCTTGTACTCTCACCGGGTAGCCTCTTCGGCGGTGGGGGCGCTTTGCTCTCCCTCTTCAACTCCCCTGTCTGCAGTCCCCTGTCCGCTTCGCTCCCCTGGTCGCACTGCTCTGGCTTTTTAAAGCCTGCTTGCCTAGGTCAGGCCTGCCCCCTTCTGAGTCACACAGGGGAAGGCTGAGCCTGAGGCTAATCAGAGGCAATCAAGGGAACAATGGCAGGCTCTCAGTCCCAACTGCCACAGAAGCTGAAACTGACTCAGACTGGTGGCTTTTATTTGGGGTAATGCCCCAGGGATTGGTTGGCCTTGTCTGTACTTGGGAATAACCCCAGTTCAGCTGTCAGTATAGCAGCAGCTCTAAGTGGAGATTGGGGTATACAGGGTTTTGTATTGACTGGGCTAGTCAAGGCTCAAGCTTACTTGTAATAGCGTAAATCCTGCTTAGCTCAATAGGTGGCAAACCCTGGCCAGCCCTTGTCTCTACCTGCAGGCTAGCATCAGTTGTGCTACGATTGTCCAAGTTAGTGCCTTTAAAGAAATGACCCAAACAGAATTTTGAGAATCAGCGAACCTCCCTGTTAAATAATCCCACCCTCCAGAAGCACTATGTGCTACAAGCCAGTGGATTTTCAAGGCTGATCCACTGATATAGATTTGTCATGCTGGTGGCCTGGTTTCAAAATCCATGGAGTATTTTCCAATGACCACTTCCCCTGTCACGGCGTGGGCTGTGTACTTGACAAAAAGGGAACTAAATGACCCTGTCTCTGCCCTAATTATGCATTTTACGGAAATGAGCAACTTCTTCAGTTAATTGGCCGAGCCAAGTTTCCCCTTTCAACCTGCATCGGAGCTGCTATCTTGGGTTGTTTTCTTTCTTTTTTAAAATTGCTTTTATCCTTTACTGTGTATAGAAATGTGCAGCTGAAAAAAAAAAGCCCATTTCCTGCAGCTTCTAATTCCTGCCAGCCGATAAGAGACCAGGGTGAGCCTTCCCTAGGCGCAGGGCCTGGAAAAGGACCGGAGCAACCAAAAGGCTAAGAATAGCCCAGCAGGCGTAGTTTGTAAAGTCTGCGAGGGTTTTTTTTTTTTTTTTAAATTTGCTGATCTAATAAGGATGAAGCAAGTTTGCAGCACTCTCCAGGGCTGCCTGTGGGTTGGGTTTTGTTCCTGTGCCTTTCTTCCCCTTGCCCCAATGTACAGTAAGGCATCGGAAGCAGAACTATAACAAAAGACTAGATGCGCCCCTGGCATCATTCATGGACTCCCCAGACTGTATTCCTTTGCGGCTCTGCCTTAGCTGGATTTTCCCTGCTGCTCAGCAATGCGGATTAAACTACCATGAGACGGAAGAGAGTGGTGGATCCAGATGAAAATTGGAAGGTACCATGTAACGGTCAGTCTGGGTGGATTGAGCTGAGAAACCATTGATACAGCCAGCAGCAAAAGCTGAGAGAGTGTGGGGGGAAATCCTGAGATGTGCTAAGTACCTGGCCTTCCAAGCTCCTTTAAGGCAATTGTTTTTAACCAGGGGTACTCGTACCTCTGCGGGTACACAACAGGCTTCCAGGGGGAACATCGCTTCTGGAGATTTGCCTCGTTTTATAACAGACTATACGTAAAAAGCACTAGCAAAGTCAGTGCAAACTAAAATTTCATCCAGACAGTGACTTGGTTATACTGCTGTAGAAACGATATCTCCAAACTGTAAATACAATATTTATATGCCAATTGATTTATGGCAAAAATGAGAACCTAAGCAATTTTTCAGTCCTACTGTTCTGTAACACTTTTGTATGTTTACGTCTCATTTTGTAAGCAAGTCGTTTTTAGGGGAGGTGAAATTTGCGGGTATACAAGGCAGATCAGATGCCTGAAAGGGATACAGCCATCTGGAGTGATTGAGAGCCAATGCTCTACGGACCAGGGCCAGAAGCCGGGTTCTTATTCTTTTGGGAGGGAGGGAAGCGAGTGACAGAGGAAGAATGGTGTGTGGTTATGGCACCAGACTGGAGACCGGGTTTCAATCCTGGCTCTTTGACTCCCGGCGGGAGTTTGTTCTAGTCAATTTCTGTCTGTGTCTCGGTTCTCTTGTCTGTGAGGTTAACAAAACTTCCTTTGTTAAGGGCTGCTTCTTGCTATGTGTCTGTACAGCACCTAACACAACACAGCCTCAAGTTTGGTTGAGCTCTCTCAGTGGGAGCCTAGTACTAATAAGGAAGAGGGAACACAGCTGGCCATCTTATTGGGACTCGGGAAGGCTCACTGTGAAAAAGGAAGGCAAAGAGTAAAATTCTGACCCCATGGGCATAGCTAGCAAAACTGCCATGGACTTCACTGGGGCTGAGATTGCCCCCAGACATTTTTAAAAGCAATAAAACTCCCTGCAGTGTATATTGCAGCAGGTGGCTTTCCATCCTCTGGCAAACAGTTTCAAATTCAAAAACATTCTTGCTCTTAGTCTGTTACTGTACATAACAATTATGGCATGATGTTATTATTGGCTGTGTGTCAGCGCTTCGCAAAACATACCAGCAGGAGAAACAGGCTTTCTGTACATCTTCGAAGGTCTTCCCAGATATTAACAGTGCCTTTAGAAATTCGGGTCTTTAACACTCCAGAAAGGCAGACATCCCCCGCTCCATGCATTTGAAATCTCTCTCAACCACGGATGGGGGCACGGGATGAGGAAGGAACATGTCTGATCTTAGAGAAAATGCTTTATTTCTATGTATAGTCAAAGGTCAGCTCAATCCTCAACATAGAACCAGCGTGCACTGGTGCAAAGCCCTAGTGCACCAAGGTGAGGCAAGGTCATTTGCACTAGTGCAAGCCTCGAATTTGGCTTGATGCATGAGCGCTGGGGGGTTTGCACCAGCATAGCTACTACATTGCTACAACTATCCCCTAACATTCTCCCACCTTTGGTCACCAAAAGTACTCTGAGTTCCTTAGATGTCTCCTCCTGCTGCAGATTCCGCCCCGCCCCTCAGCTCCCTAGTAGCGCTGGCTGCCAGGAGCCACCCACGAGCCTGTGAGAAGGGCTGGCTGGTCACTTCGTGAGTGGATCACTGTAACCAGGGAGTTTAAGGGCATACAATGGAGCAGCGGAGATGGCCTCTCGGGTACAAACTTTGCAGCCTTCTGCCTGCTCAACTTCAGCTCAGTGGGTGTTCCACGCAAGATCAGACTCCCGATTATTTTTATAGCACTCACAGACATCACAGACATACAGGAAGACAAAGTCACTCTGTCCCAGAGCTTATTGTCTCTGGGCCTGATTCTGCTTCCTAAACTCATTAATAGAAGGGGTTCCATGTGATTAACATGAAAGCAACCCGTGGTGGAAGAGTGGAGAATCATCAGTAAACAACAGAGGCAAGTCACTCCCTAGCAATGAAATCTCTGCTTGTCTCTTCCACCCCTAGGACGTGTCACTGACCCTAACTTTTTACATGCAGTCTCTGGAGACCACTTCACCGCTGCTGTGCAAGATGCTCCCTGTGGATAATATATTCGAAAGTGGCAATCTGTCAATATTATCCTGCATTACAGGATCAGTCAATAAAAACAGGATGGAAATTAGAAATCAGGCCGTGTCTGCCAACAGTATTTAACTTTTAGCCAACTCTTCATTAGAAACTGTGAGCCATTTGTGCATCACCTAGATTTGCATAACAATTTGCATAGAAAACTCAGCCCCTGGAAGATGTGTGGTTTTCTAATGGGAAGGCAGTATGCTAAGTGTAGGCATTTTCAAGCTGGGGAAAGGGAGACTGGCCTGGTTTCTATTCCTGGCTCGACCAGTGACTTTTTTTGCATGGCTTGTGGCTAGTCACTTCCCCTCTCGGTGCCTCAGGTTCTATGTCTAGAAAATATAAGTTAAAACGCTCCCTCTTTCCCGAGGAAATGTGGGGGGTTGAGAATGTTTGTAAAGGGATCTGGAATCCTCTTACAGAAGGACAAAGTGTCATTGGGATGGGGCAGGAAGTTAACATGTCTTCAGTCTTGATATTAGAAAGAACAATCTCTTCCCCATTTGTAAATCCAGGGCACACTTGGGTTCCTCTTTCCTGTTTGTGGAAATCCAGGGCATTCATCTGTGCTGTAGAAACCAGAGCCTGAAGAAACAGGCCAAAATACAGTCTGGTTGCTTAACCTCTGCCTGTGCTCCTGTTTTGGTGACAGATTTGACCATCAGTTTCAGCTTCCTAATCTTCCCCTCTTGCGCAGTATGATTCAGCGGATGTGGCCTGGTTCCTGGGTTCACTTTGTACCACTACAGCTGACTAAGAACATAAGAATGGCTATATTGGGTCAGCTAGTATCCTGTCTTCCGACTGCAGCCAATGCCAGGTGCTACAAAGGGAAAACTGACTCACTGAAGTACTGCCCCTCTTGGTCCATCCATTTCCTCCTCTGTAAAGTAGAGAAAATGTCACTTCCCTACCTTTGCAGCTCAGGAGGTAATTGTGCTAAGCCTTGTTGCGCTCAGCAGTAACTCCTTTGTGAAGAAAGGAGACAGCTCCTGAGTGTACAACTGTTAGAACCTGAAATGCTTCCAAGTTTAGAACTTTTTTTCCAATTCTATGTCCCTGGGCGGTTTGGATGTGTATGTCTAGCATGCTATCTAGCATTCAATGGGGAGAAAATGCCGGAGGCAAGCTCCCCTGTGCAGGTGATCCTACAGTAGAAACTTACTCCAAGAATAGCCTGTATTCCTTAAGGGTACCCAATGCAATGGTGATAATGGCGTTGCTGATGGGAAACATCTACCAGGGTCCAAGCTGCCTTTCTCTCTTCTTTCCGTGCCTCTGTTTGTTCATTGCGATAGCACCTGAACCTTCCCCCATTCCCTGGGTATATTGGTTTTAGACCCCGCTATTCAGACTTCTCCTTTCTCTTTGCTCCCAGCTGGACAAAGGGGACGTGAGCACACTTAGCCTGCCTTCCAACACCAGCCATGGCGACGCTGACATCTGCTTGGACGTTCCGGACGGCACCCCGGACCCGCACCGGACGAAAGCTGCCATTGACCACCTGCACCAGAAGATCCTCAAGATCACCGAACAGATCAAGATTGAGCAGGAGGCTCGGGACGACAACGTCGCCGAGTACCTGAAGCTGGCCAACAATGCTGACAAGCAGCAGGCCTCCCGCATCAAGCAGGTCTTTGAGAAGAAGAACCAGAAGTCGGCCCAGACCATCTCCCAGCTCCATAAGAAGCTGGAGCACTACCACAAGAAGCTAAAGGAGATCGAACAGAACGGGCTCTCCCGACAGCCCAAGGATGTCTTCCGGGACATGCACCAGGGCCTTAAGGACGTGGGGGCCAACGTCCGGTCCAGCATCAGCGGCTTCGGAGGCGGGGTGGTAGAAGGCGTCAAGGGAAGCCTGTCGGGTTTGTCCCAGGTCACCCACACGGCTGTGGTTGCCAAGCCCCGGGAGTTCGCCAGCCTGATCCGGAACAAGTTTGGCAGCGCCGACAACATCGCCCACTTGAAGGACACTCTGGATGACGGGCACCCCGAGGAGGCCTCGAGGACTCTGAGTGGCAGCGCCACCCTGGTGTCCAGCCCCAAATACGGCAGTGACGACGAGTGCTCCAGCGCCACCTCGGGGTCGGCAGGGGGCAGCAACTCAGGGGCAGGGGCAGGGCCCGGTGGCTTGGGGAGCCCCAAGTCCAACACCCTGGACAGTCACCACAATAACTTTGACACCATCCTGGAGGAGCTGCGGGAGATTAAGGACAGTCAGTCACACCTGGAGGACTCGATGGAGGATCTCAAGGCGCAACTGCAGAGGGACTATACCTACATGACACAGTGCTTGCAAGAGGAGCGGTACAGGTAGGGCCCGCCCCAGGGCAGGTGTGTGTGGGCGCATGCATGGGTGCCACCTCCCTGTTTCTACAAGGCTGTTCCTAGGTGGCTCACCCCAATGGGCCTGCACCTCCACCAGCCCTTCATAGCACTGCTATTGTATACAGTAGCTCTTTGCAATTTGCTGTGCAGAGCTATTCATGCCAACGCCTTCAACGCCCACCGCCACAGTGCTCACAGGCAACCCTACCATAACACTGTGGGCAGGTCCAGCCAACCTTTGCAATGATATAGTAACAAAGCCATGTAGGCTGCCTGGCCCTCAAAAGCAGCCCTACGGTAACAAACCGCGGTGCCCTCTTGCACAACAGAAACAAACAAACGTGTGTACACAGAGGACGAGGATTTTGGTAAGGAAGTAGAGTCACGTTCCAATCTTCCAGTATGAAACAAAAATTGGATGTCATGGCGCGCACTCGGCTTTTGTGGGGAGTCGTAAATTCCAATTTGTTTTACTAAGGGGGGGAACTGGAGTTTAAACCCACAACCCAGCCACAAAGGCTTATGGAATACAGCGAATGGTCTATTGGCCATTTTGTGTGTCACAGACAGGCCCGTTGATGGGGGGTCAGTCGGGCAAAGGGGGCAACTATAGTAGTGGTGGGGGCCGGAGTCCCATGCCCTTTAAATCACTGCCAGAGCTCCCTGTGGTGCGCTCCTAAGGGAAGCATGGCACTCTCCAGATGACGCTGAGGGCTGCCTAGCCCCAGCCCTGCCTGTTCCACCCAAAGCCCCGCCCCTTCTGCCTGAGGCTCCGCCTCTTCTGGCGACGTGGACTAGGGGCTCGGTGAGGTTGTAAGCCCCACTGGTCACAGCTCAAAAAAGGCGGAGAACCACTGGCTTAGGGAATGAGATATAAGGCCAAGCCATTCAAATGGGCAAATCTAGTGGCAAAAAGCTCTCTAGGTATTCCAGTGACTGGGCCTTTTCGGTTCTCCGTGAGAAGTGAAACCCTAGAGAGCTGCTCCCACTAGAGAAAAGAACCAGGGTTTGTTACATTGAGCCTAGCAAACTGTGTGTGGCCTCCACAGTTAGCTGTCAAACCTCCCAGCAGCCTATAGTGCTGAAGAAACCCTGTAACACTTCCCCTCTGCCAATCAGCCTGAGGAAAAAAAGGCTATTTGCTATTTATACGAGGGAAGAGGAAATGCGTCATCTTGCTAGACAGGCAGTGCCGGGCCTCTCATCGCCTGGGAACAGGAACTAAGGACCAGCTTCCAAAGGAGGCATTGGCTTGGTCTCTCTCTTTTTAGAGCGTTTTGGCTGAAAGCTGAAACACGGTTTAAAAATACTTCCCCAACTGGGAGCACAGGCACACAGGCGCACACAGGCACACTGGCTTGTGATTGCATTGGGGTTCCTTTCTTTCCCCAGCCCTGCTATTTGAAGTTTCTTCCAGGCCCTTCTGAGGAGCTGGAAAATGTCTTGAAATAGCCTTGGCCAGTGACAGAGGAGATGGAAAGAAAACACCGTGTTCCCAAATCCAGATAGTCCTGAGTGGCCAGAGAAACTCCCTTCCCTTCCTTCCTCTCCCCTCATCCTCCCCCCTCCCCCAACTCCCAGTCCCCTTTGTTGGAGGTGGGAAAGGCCCTGGGAGTCTAGTGGAGCGAGCTGGTTTGAATGCAGCGCAGGGGCACATGCTCCGTAGGATGTCATCTGACGGCTCTGCTGGGACCAACATAATGCATGGTAGGGCTGCCCTGGCTATGGGCTCTTTGAGAGCAGTTTTGACACAAAGTCCAAGGGCTGAATGGGCTGTCCAATGAGCTGTCCTCTCACCCAAAGGGTATGTCTACACAGCAAAGTTATTTCGAAATAACAGCCATTATTTCGTAATAACTTTCCTAGTGTCTACACAAGCCAACTGATATTTTGAAATTAATTCGAAATAGTGGAGGGCTTATTTCGAAATTGGTAAACCTCATTCCACGAGGAATAGTGCCAATTTCGAAATTGCTATTTAGAAATAAGAGCTGTGTAGATGCCTATTTCGAAACAGGGGGCTTCCAGCCCTTCCCAGGGTGCCCTGCTGGCCACCCTGGCCACAAGGTAACTTCTGACCTGATGCCCTGCTGGAACCAGTTCTAGCTCGCCTTAAATGCGATTCAGCGTCCAATCAGTGTGGACGCACTATTTCAAAATAGCAAAAAGCTATTTCAAAATGGATTTTGTGTGTAGATGCGTTATTTCGAAATAAGATATTTTGAAATAACTATTTCGAAATAAGATATTTTGAAATAACGCTGTAGTGTAGACATACCCTTAGAGAGCAGGGCTAAGGCCCTGGGCCCTGTTCGCACTGCTGCTGCCTGTGTTGTGCCTCTCCTGGGGATGAAAGGGGCGGGAAGGTTTGCTTCCCCCTCCCCCCATTAGACACAAGGGTCCCTTCCAACACATTTTGTCACAGAGAGAGCAGCACAGGAGATGCTTATAAGCTATGTACTAGGGATGTGAAAGTGGAACCATTTACATGGTTAACCAATGAGCCTGAGTGCATCAGTTAACATGCAGTCACACACAGCCGCTCCCCCTCCCTCCCATTGCCTCAGTTGCTTGCTCCCAAAGTCTGTGTCAGAGGCAGCAGCATGGAGGGGGGGGTGGAAGTGGGGAGGAAGGGGCGGGAACTGTTATGCATGGGGAACTGGCATGTAAGCCAGCTCCCTGCGTGTACTGACTGGCTTGAGCGGAGCTGCCTGTTCTCCCTCCCATCCGGGGCGGCAGGTAGGAGCCACAGCCCTGTGGGTAACCCCTGAATATTTTCAGCGATTACACGATTACGTAATTCAATGCATTTTACCATCCCTACTATGTACCCAGCAGGTCCTTAAGTTCCACTGACCTCTGGCTTCAAGGCCATTTGAATACCGTCCACAGGCAAAGGGAGGGCTGGAGAATGCAAGGTGGCTGCTTCTGAGGCGAGACCAGCACCTCTGGGACTGCAGCGCACACCAGGCGCCTAGAGGCAAAAGAAAAGAGAGATGAAGTAAACCCCATGTTACCCATCACTGCATGCACACAGCCTTCTCGGTCTGCTTCTAACCTGCCTACTTTGAACTGTCCATCTGCTGACTCCAGGCCACACTGGAACCTGCACTATTTGTTTTAGATGCTCCAGTGCCATTGCTAGGGATGAGATGGTTAACTGGTTAACTGGAGGGCTGGAGCGGCCCCCCCACCCACACCCATTTAACTGGCCAAACATAATGTTTAATTAGTTAGTCACGATGGTTAACTGGTTGGCCGTGGTGTTTGGCTGGTTAACTGGTTGGGCATGACGTTTAGCCGGTTAACCGGGATTTCACATCCCTAGCCATTGCTGTGTGGAGTGCCTCAGTTGCTTGACAGCCGAAAGTCATTTCCATGGCATCCAAGTCACCTCCGTATGTGAGGCACCTGTGAGGTTTGGGCGGGTGGGGGGAGCTGGAGTTAACGGGGTGTAAGGAAATAGGCAGTTCTGGCACAACGGGAGAAAGACAAGTCAGGTGTAATAACATGGCTGCCGGCATTCACACTCTCTCCCCACCCCCAGGTACGAGCGCCTGGAAGAGCAGCTGAATGACCTGACCGAGCTCCACCAGAATGAAATGACCAACTTGAAGCAGGAGCTAGCCAGCATGGAGGAGAAGGTGGCCTACCAGTCCTATGAGAGGGCAAGGGACATCCAGGTATGGCAACTCAGCCCACCCTGCTCTCCTTATGCATTTCTTTGGCCGACAGGATAGGGCAGAGTTGCGGGGGCAGATCTGTGCAGTGGGAGAGGGGACATCACATGCCTGGTGGGGAAGGACAGGGCTTGTACATGAAAGACTGAGGGGATCCTTCTTTCAAGGAATGAGCTATGTCACTGGCTGGGATACACTTTTCAGAGGCAGAAAGCCCAGGGGAGACAGCAATGGGACAGTTTAGCCATGGCCCTCGGAGACTCCTCGTGCAGTAGGAAGCCGTGTGGCTCAGGGGACTGGTAATGGGCTACTGAGTGTTTTGTGGCTCTTCGGAGCCAGCCCTGGCCCAGATGTTGTCACAGTCTGATGGCCTGCATGGAATATGTGCCCAGAGCATGCCCAGTTCCTAGTGAGCTAAATTCACTTTACACAAGAGGAAACCACAGGGGGGTTTCTGACCCGTGCACAGGTCCGAGCGACTGACTGACCAGCTGGGCAGAGCAGCAGCCTGGGAGAGTAGAGGGGCTCATTGCAGGGTCACCAAAATGTAAGACTGGAAGGGGCCTCAAGAGACCATCTAGTCCAGTGCCCGGCACTGAGGCAGAACCAAGTAACCCCAGTTGATCCCTGATGGGTGTTTGCCCAACCCATTCTTAAAATCCTCCAAATAACAGAGCTTCCACAACCTCCCTTGGCAACCTTATTCCAGTGCTACCCTTAGAGGCAAGGAGCTTTTCCCCAATAGCTAGCCTCATTCTCCCTTGCTACAGAACAAGTCCATTACGTCTTCTCCCTCCTTCAGTGGTCATGGGGACAATGGGTCACCCTCCCTTTGTAACATCCCTTAGCATATTCAAAGACTTACAAAGTCCCCACTAAGAATGTAAATTCCCTTTTAATTGGGTAGCCAGTTAAATCAGAAGCTTAACCCATTAACAAATGGGGCGGGGCACGCTCCTACCTAGGTGGGTTGGAGGAGTGCTGTCCCCAGCCACAGCTGTGTGGGAATGGCCCCACCACCACAGGGAGAGGCTGCTCCAGCTCAGTCACACCCGGACCACTGTGGACAGGGACTGCTCCGGACACCCAGAGCAGCCCCGTCCACAGCAGGGTGGGTGGGGAGCAGCTCCAGCCCCCACAGGTTAACCAGAACCAGTAAGCATTGCTCGTTAAGGGTGATGCTTACCAGTTAACCTTACACCTCCCTAGTCCCTGTCTAGTCTTTTTCTCTTGAGACTGAGTGCACTCCAGCTTTTAACTTACCTCTTAGGTCAAGTTTTCTAAACCTTGAATCAGTTTTGTTGCTCTCCTCAGTTTTTCCCCATTTTTCTTAAAGTGTGTGGTGCCCAGAAACGGACACAGTACTGCAGCAGAGTGGCATGGGCAATTACCCTGCTAAAACATACGGGACCCAATGCCAGCTCCCAGTGCTGGTCTAGATTTCAGGGGTGCTCATTTGTAGCGGTTCTCGGGGGCACCTCTGAAAACGGGGCTGGTGTGTTCTTACAGGAGCGCTAGCTAGGCTGTTGAAATCTATGTATCTGTCAGTCCATTCATCTACTGTTTTTGTACGGCAACCATTCTTGTAGTCTGATTGGAAGTGCTCCATTAGGACTGTCACCTCGCACAGCTCTTGGCATTGTCACCTTTTGGGTGTCAGTAATCTATGGCCCATTTGTCAGAGGCCCCCAGAGAGTGGGTTGGAGTGTAACTGTTCGGCACAGTCTGCAGGAGACTGTTCTGCCCCCATGTGGCAATTCTGGGAACTTTCCAGTGCAACTGACCATTTGATGAGGAGTCCTGTGGCACCTTATAGACTAACCGAAGTGTTGGAGCATAGGCTTTCGTGGGCAAAGACCCACTTCGTCAGATGCAAGTAGTGGAAATTTCCAGAGGCAGGTATAAATATGCAGGCCAGGATCAGGCTGGAGATGACTGATGTAGATGCGCTTTTCCGGAAAAGAGCCCCGATCGCCATTTTCGCGATCGGGGCTATTTCCGGAAAAGACTACTGGGCTGTCTACACTGGCCCTTTTCCGGAACAGTGTTCCGGAATAAGGACTTATGCCTGAGCGGGAGCAGACTAGTTTTTCCGGAATAGCGGCTGATTTTGTACAGTAGAGCGTCGTTGCTTTTCCGGAAATTCAAGGGCCAGTGTAGACAGCTCGCAGCTTATTCCGGAAAAGCGGCTGATTTTCTGGAATAAGTGGCCCAGTGTAGACACAGCCATGGTCTATAAGAGCTGTTATTCCAAAATAACTTTGCTGTGTAGACACACCCTCTGTGTCCTAACACAGTGCATGAATGCCATCTCAGAATCCTAATACCAACCCTCATTTGCACAGAGATAGCGCCTGCCATCAGCAGATCTCAAAGCACTTTGCATATGCTAATTGAGCCTGAGAGCTTACAGGTGGTAGGTGAGAAACACTCCCTATTCCGGGTGGATGCGCTGAGGTCCACAGTATCTTGTCCCAAGGTGTTTCATGGCCAGGGACAGAGACCAGGAGCTGAGCTCTCCCCAAGCATCCTGGCTCCCCAGCCTCCTGCTCTAACCCACCAGCCTCCCCTTCCTCACAGAGACAGGCACAGAACCCAGGCATCCTGATTCTAGCCACCAGACTAGAACCCTGTGCCACGTGCTGTAGCTGCCACCTGGTGGCGTCCCTCCCCCCACCCCAGGCCCAACTCACCCTGGCTCCCATCTGCCCCTGTAGGAAGCGGTGGAGTCGTGCCTCACCCGCGTCACCAAGCTGGAGCTCCAGCAGCAGCAGCAGCAAGTGGTACAGCTGGAAGGGGTGGAGAACGCCAACGCCCGGGCCCTGCTGGGCAAGTTTATCAACATTATCTTGGCCCTCATGGCGGTACTGCTCGTCTTCGTCTCCACCGTCGCCAACTTCATCACGCCCCTCATGAAGACCCGCATGCGCATCCTCAGCACCGCCCTGCTGTTCCTCTTCCTCTTCCTCCTCTGGAAGCACTGGGACTCCATCGCTTACTTCCTGGAGCACGTGTTGCTCCCCAGCTGATTCCCTGGCCAGCTGCCAGCGCCCTAGGGCAGCTTTCCATTTTCCTACTGAGAAAAGGGGAAAGGGTGGGTGGGGGAACTGGAGCCTTCCTTAAAACGTCTTCATCCATTCAGTTCAGTCTGGTTTCCCACCCCCTGCACCCATTTGTAGTCATATCCTGCGTCCTCATCGCAACTGGGAGCATGAGCTGCTGAGCCCGGATTGATTACTCCTCCGGGACACCCTGGGGGATGAGGATGAGGAGAGCGAAGGAGAGTTTGGAAGAAGCCTGTAACTTCCATGTTCTTGGTTGGTTTGTTATTTTTAATATTATCATGACAGTCTCTGGGAAGGAGGCTTTCTTTACATCCCAGCCACCCCTGGGACTGCAGTTTAAAAGCTTTGTATCCAGATCAGAGTTTGCCTTCAAACCCAGCCACTGGGAAACTTTCTCTAGAAAGGGGAGAGGTTTGTTTCTTAAAGACAAGGCTGGTGGAAAGCTCAGACCTGGGATGCAATAAAGAAATCGACAGCAAAAGGAGGGAGCAGAGCTCAAGGTGAATATTCTAATGTCTCTGCTCCCGGGAGAGCTTGCGTATTTGATGAAGCAGAATGTACACATCACACCAGCTTCTCCAAACCACACGCATGTTCACTCTCATTGTTACTGACTGGCTGACAAGCCCAACACAGAATTGGGGGTTGCTATGATGGCTTCCTTTGCACAGCTGATCATTGGCTTGTGGCCGGCAGATACCAGTTCTGGTTCTGATCAGAAAACACGCACACTTCTGGCACAGATGAAACACTTGGGTTGTCTTTTGTTATTTTTTTCCCTCCTGTGGCTTTCATTGCATTTCTTCAGGGACATGTGGACCTTCCAACATCACCCCCACGAAATTGAGTCTGCCCAAAGTGTCGCGTGTGTGTTTTAATTTATTTCAAGGTTCTGTTTCCATTTGTGAATCAAGCGTTGGGGCAAAACGCAGCTGCTTTCACAGCCTCCAGGTCTCTAAAGATGACAGAGCATGTTGTCTTGAAAGTTTCTTGAATGATTTAATATATGAGTGGGGATATAGATATATACACACACACACACTCAGATCCTCTCCTGCTGCAAGTGGGTGTGATTCCAATGATTTCAGTGGAGCTGTGCCAGTTTACAGTCACAGAAAATGTGTTTTTGTGGCTCATTTTGGTTTTCCTGGCTCAGCCAGAACTTACACAAATGTTTGGGTTGTATTGTGGAAGTCAGGGGATGTGTTGAGTTCACAGGGAATGCAGGATTGAGTCCTTGCAAGGAGGGATTGTCATAGGGGATGAGCCGCCAGTCACCTCTGTCCATTAAAGGAAAACTTCCTGAGCTGTCTCTCCCCTTGCTCCTGGGGGTTTGACACCTAAAAAGTAGGATGGACAAGCCTATACAACCTTTTGGCTCCTCAGCTGATCATCAGGGACATGTGCTGAGTTTGGAGTAGAAACATCTAGCGAGGAAATTCATTCCTGATGGGACTTCAGGAATGAGTCTAAACTGTGGTATCCCAGCATTTTGTACACGACTGCTCCCATTGGCAGCAGTGCAAGGACCACATTTGTATCATGCAAAGGTCAGTTGTTCAAGGGTTGTTGCAAACGATATGCAAGCAACATATCAAAGGACTTTCTTTCGTATCCCATTGCAGATCTGTGCCCATATGTGATCCTTGCACCTTTGCCAGAATGAACGTTGGGTAAAGAATAAGTGACTAAACAGTAGAGAAGAACAGAATCTCCACATTGTGGAGCCTTATTCCCTCCACATTGTGCCGTCACTTACACTTGTGCGAACTTACACCCTGTTCTGATGTAATGCGGCAGTGGTGCGAAGGGCAGCACAGGGTGTGATGTGGTGGAAAAATGAGGCTCCAGGAAGGTCTTGGACAGAACTGACAGGTGGCTTCCCTCGTCCATTCTGTAAGACGTTTGCAAAAGCCTGTTAACAAGTGAAACATCCTTTTTCTGTATCACTTATGATGGGTGATACCTGGGGTGACCGTGTATCATATGGGCATGTGAGCTCGGTTCCTGCATTTCTGCCACTTGTGCCAGCACCTAGACCCAGGTCCAGGAACCTCTGAGTGTCCATTTGACTTGGGCACTCGTGGTTAGGAGCTGGACTTAGAACTTCTGGTCCACAGGAGGGGGCATGTCTGCAATTATATCCCCCCTCCCCCCGAGCCTGTTTGGAGTTGGATGATGGGGACTGCTGCTCAGAATGATCAGCTGCCTACTACAGAGAACTCTGTTGGAAAAGCTCTTACGAAATGGATGAGCAAACACTGAGCCTTCTTGGAGACTGAGGGGAGTGTGAACCCCAACCTCTCTTTTATAGATATATTTATTTTGTATTTTTGTAAGGATTTAGCTGGAGTTAACATTCCTGGATTTCTCAGTTATCCAAGGAAGCCAGGATTCTGTTGGCTACAGTGAGTTAATTTATCTATCAACATCAGGTTTCATCATCTAAGAGCCAAGGGACAGAAACTTTAATGCACTGGTAACGCCGAACAACTACAACTTCCGGTCTAGATTCAGGAAAACACATCAGGACAGCCCATAGGCACATGCTCAACTTTCAGCACTTGCTAAAGTCTCCTTGGAGTCTGCAGGATTTAAACACATCTTTAAATGCTGACTTGCAGCAGGGCAGTCCTAAGCATGTGCTTTAAATACTTCCATGCACAAGGGCCTAAACAAAACAAAAAAAATCAAGGTTCGTGTTCTACTTTCACTAGGGTAGCTCCACAGCCTTCAGCAGAGCATGCAACAAGCTAAATTCTTTCCTGTCAAAGCTGCAGGTGTAAAAGACAATCTAGCGAACAGGCTGTGTGCCTTTCCATAGCACTGACTGCTTGCAACGGGGGGGGGGGGGCAGTCTGATAAATTGGACAAAGGGTTTAGCATCTTTGTTGGGCCTGATTTTTTTTAAAAAACATACAAGTATAAATTAAGCCTTGTTTTCACTCAGTGGAACATCAACACTGCTGTGATTCTAGTGAGTCTAGTTAAGACTCAGTAAATCAAACTCAGAGGGCACCCCCATTGGTGTCTGGTTCTCCTGCTTTTGCAAGGAATAAGGAAAGCAAATAGGAATGCTTGCTCCCATCAGAATCCTGCTGTGGAGTAAGCCAACTCCAGCTACAAATTTTACATAGCCAGGTCTAGTTGCTGTGTAGACATACCCTAGGAGGCCAAGGCACTAGCTAGAATAGATGGAGTGGGAAGGTGCTAACCTGGGCCTGGTGATCGGGCTGCACAATAGAGCTTCCCAAGTTTCATTTTCCTGACAGGATTGTCTCAGTGCTGTTTTAAACAGACAAGTCAAAGCTGTTTTAAGCAAACCTGTCATCATCTCAGGGCTGCACTGGAGTCAAGACTTGGGGGAGGCCAAAAACAGCCATTACCACCCCTTTTAAAAAGCCTCCAAATCACCACAAGTCACCAGAGTTTCCTAGCCTGCAGATCAACTTAACTACAAAATTGGACAGCCCTGAGCAATTCTGTGAGGTCAGTGTAGTCTCCCATGTAGACACAACAGCATGCCCTTCAGCAGCACCACCAGATCTGTACTGCAGCAGCATAAACCTACCCTTAATGTAGAAGGCAGGAAGGATTTCTCCCTTTTCCTCAGACACCACATCAGGGGAGGAACCACTTAAGCCAGATCAAGGGACCTTTATTTGAGAGCAATCCCATTTACATTCAGAAACAGCTAAATTTCTAGCAAGACCTAGACCTGCCCAGCTTTCCTCCCTCCCCCTTCACAAACACATGTCCACCTTTTCCTGTTTATATAGCCAAGCTAGCAGGGTGAGGCTAGGACAGGGTGCACCTTGATTGTACCCAGCTTGTCTTGGCTGTAAATTCCAGACTGTCCCTTAAAGTGGTATTACTCCCTGTCACAGTCACTGTTGTATAGTATATTATTATTTGTATTATGGTATCAGCCGAGATCAGGACCCTCTGGTGCTAGATGCTGTACACATCCATATTGAGGGGTGGAGCTGGCCTCAGAGAGCTTCTGATATCAATAGACAAAGGGCGGGAGGGGAAACAGTGGCTCAGAGAGTGTTAACTGACATTCCCATGGTCACCCATCAGGGCAGTGTCGGAGTTTCAGCCCATCCGCTTTTCATGGCCTAGGTGACTTGAGTTTGTTCAGCAAGAGCTGCAGTTGTTTGTCAGGGTGGGGAAATGGGTTATTTTATGAAAAATTGTGGAGAACTTTTGAAATGTTAAAAAGGATTTTAATAGATATAATGGGACAGTTTTATGTCCTTGTTCTTCAGGAACTGTGGCCCCAACTCTGCAAACAGGTAACTGTACTTGTGAGTCATTCCCAATGACCTCAATGGAGTAACATCATGCAGTGCCTAACTATTTGCAGGATTGGGGTCTGAGCGTCCACAAATCTTCGGTCTTGGGGATACCAGCAGGGAGGTTCAACACCCCAATTTAGATTTTGTTTCAAGTTTTACAGAAATGTTTTCTGGATTTTTGTTTGTTTTCCACCACAAATTTTTGGTGATGCTCTTAAAAGGCTCCTGCAGTTTTTTCAATCCAAATTCGGAGCTAGGAGTTGAAACTGCCAATACCAAAACCAATGGTTTTAAACTGACCAGTCTGTTTCCCTTGTGTAGGAGGAGTCAAGTGCAAAAAGTGAACAAACTGTGTAAATGGCAAAAACGCTTTTCTCTGATTTAAAAAAACTGGTTTCAGAAGTAATTCTCTTGCAGGGAGGGGGGTTAATGAAGAGGAATTTGCTCTTTTTAATCATTGATATTTATCATCTGATGGCGGAAAATAAAGGCAGAAATTCACCCCAGCATAAGGCCAAGTCACCATTCAGCGCCTCAACATTGGGTTTAAACTGTGGTACTTCAGTGTCTGCTTTATGAACTGGGCAAATTTCACCCTTGGAGCCTGATCCTGCTAAACAACTGCTGGATAGCACGGTGCTCAGTGTTATTATTACAATGGTCTCCTCACTCCAGTACAAGCCCACTTAATCACAAGAGTGCTGATTCAAAGTGCACCGAATTCACTGCCAGGACTCCGTTGGTGGAACAGACCGTGTGCCAGCCAGTTATTGTTTGCAGCCTCAGCCCTGAAAAAATTATACTCAACATGTCATTAGTGGTACGTTTAGCTCTAGGGATGTCAGCAGCACAGTGAATGCACTGCAGGATTTATCAGTAACTAGGTGCACAAAACCCTACCTGTTCTGCTTTATGCAGCACCAATATCACAGAACCATAAGGAAGGAAGGGCCCGAGGCCTACAACCACACAGGCCCAAGAATAGCTTTACTTCCATGAGCAGTCCCCTGAAGGCTGTGATGGTCAAATAAGTTAAGCGCCCCTCCCACTGAACGTTCATTATTAGTTATGAATTATTATTTATTCTTTGCCTTGCCGTTTGCCTATGGCCCCATTCATAGGCACTGCCCCATTCATAGGCAGGCCCCCAGTGCGCTAAGTGGTGTCCAAATACATAAGAAAAGATGGGCCCTACTCCCAAGAATCGGAGGAGAGATTTTCAGGTGTGGTTTGCGAAAGTGCGTGAGACAGCTGCCAGGCGCCCATTAATTTCTAATCCACCAAAGCTCTTCCGTAAATTCCAGTAGGCACCTCCCTGTTCCTCTGAAAAGCAGGTGCTTCCTTTAAATCGGGGGTGGGGAACCTCAGGCCCGGGGGCTGGATGTGGCCCCCAGCTTTCCTGGATCTGGCTCCTGAGGCTCAGAGCATCCCCTTTCCGCCCGCAGCATTGGGGAGCCCGTGATGATGCTCCAGCCCCTCTGCTGACCCACTGCAAGGCTGGAGCCCATAAAATCTACTAGGCTAGGCCCCACTAGGCTCTGGTGGGCAAGGAGACTGTGCGGAGTGTCTTTCTCCCTCAGTTGAGGGCCACAACAGTGAGGGTGGGAGGTTTGACGTCTCACTTGTGTGCAGCCCCCAACTGATTTTTCTGTGGGTCAGTGACCCCCCCGACCCAAAAAAGATTCCCCACCCCTGCTCTATAGAAGACAAGAGTGTAACACTGTTAGGGTCTTTTGAAAATCCAGCTGAAGTCACTGGGAACTTACTCAGCAGCTTGATCAGGTGTAAGGATCATCAGAGCCAGGGCCTTGCTGCCCAGCTGGGAAAAAAGCAGAAATACTCTCCACAGGAGGAACTCTTCTGATGCCGTGTATGTCCACGGTTGACTCTTGTGCCACTCTCTGCCATAGGCTGGCTCTTTCCCAGTCGCGGACCCAGCTGCGAGAAGCCCCGATTTCATCTTGCGACTATTTATTTTGGTTTTTGTGCGTTGACTTTTTTTCCCCCCAATAAACATGTAAAACAACCCACCCAGGCAATCAAAAAGATGTGGTGAAGCCGGCGCGTGCGTTTAAACACAAATCCCGCAATGGCCGTTTTCCCGCAATTCTGCTAAAGCGGAAAAGAAAGGAGGGAAGGGGAAAGCGTGAGAATATGTTTAAAAGGGCTGATGAAGGTGGGTGGGAAGGGAAAGGCATGGAAGGTGCCGTTTCCCATTCTCTGTGGACGCTGGTGCTTCTGGTTGAGCAAAGCCCCCTCGTCTGTCCTAGGGGACTGCTCTTGGACACCATCAGGGGATGAACCTGAATGAAGGGTTTGCTGTGGTTCTTCAGGGATTTTTCCCTCCCTCATTACTGGATTTTAATTTTAAAATCTGCTGAAAGGTAAAATGGGTCTGTGCCATCCCGATAACTGCATTTAAGAGCTTTTTGTGTTGCACTGAGAACAAACAACACAGGTTGTTGGCTGCCCATTGCTGGGGGCACATGTTCATAATCAGCTGGGCCAGGGACTCTGCCCCCTTTGCCCTCTGTGCGGGGCCTGTTTCAATTCTCGGCTGCGAGGGGACCCTGTGTTATTGGTGGAGCAGCACTGGGAAGCAATAAGGTAGCCAAAGCCCAGGTTGGATTTCAGTGGCCTGCGCTGACCCAGAAAGGGACCGAATCCAGAGCAGCAGAGCAAACAAGAGCAGAGGTTTGGGGGCTGATGTTTCAAACCGAGCCGATGGCTTAGCTGCCTTTGAGGGAAGACTGGCCCCTGCTCCTTGCTGCCCTCTCCCTTGCCAGCCTATGACCAGAACTGGAGACTAGAAAGTTGCCATCACCCCTGTTCCTGGAAGGAGTGATTGAATGGCAAGCTCCCCTCCCTGCCCAGCCCAGTCCTGTGGCTGAAGAGGGAAATCGGTGAGGTGCTCCCCACCAAGGTTCCCTGTGAACTGAGCACTTCGGCAGCCACCCCAGAGAGATTCCAATGCCGCCCAGCTGATTAGCAGAGCTCCCATAGCCAGCAGCATTTCTACGGGTGGTGCACATCCGCACATGTCTTGGCGCATGTGACAAAATTTATTCCAGACTTAGATAAAAAATAGAGGGAACACTGCTCCCCATTCTCCTGTTGCTGGAGAAACAAATTAGAGGGGTGCTTGAGTTACAGATCTCTGGGTGGGGGGTGAACGCAGACACTTGCTCTGCCTGGGGCAGGTGCTGAGCCTCCATGGGCACTGTGGTGAGGGCTGCGGATGGGCAGGGCCTCTCCCTACCAGGCTGCTTGTATGTGAAGTCAGCTCGGCTGGTGGGGCAGACACAGGAGAATTATCCAGAGGGCTCTGGATGCAATTCCATCCCTCCCCACTGGAGCGCTCTCCCTCCAGCCAGCCAGAGGGAGGGTGAGGAGCAAGGGAACAGGACACAGCTTCAGTTCGGTGGGGCGGCCAAGCCGGCCTGGATTTCCTTGCTGGCTGAGTGGGATGGGCTCCCCCTCGCACTCCTGGGCTGGTGTAAACTAGCACCTCTGCATTGCGTCACATGGAGCTTT